TTTAATATAATTTACTGATCTGTAGTAGATACTCTTCCAATTTAACATGACATTAGTTCTGTACTAGCGGTTACATACTGTATCAGTATAATGAAGAATAGTTAGTCTGTTTTGGAATATTTGAAGATGATTAATATTTTCAGAACTACAGTTTGACTGAAGATGGTAGTGGTAGTTGTGTTGTGGGCAGTTGTGGTATTAATGGTGATGGTGGTGGTGTTGGTAATGGTGTTAATATAATGGTACTGCTGATGGTGATTACTATGGTGATTGTTATTGTGGTGATGCTACTGGTTATGATGGTCGTGGTGGTGTTGGAAAATGTTGCTGATGGTAATGAAGATGCTGCTGTTGCTGATAATGATGCAGTTGCTAATGAAGCTGCAGTTGCTAATGAAGATGCAGTTGCTGATGATGCTGTTGCTGATGATGATGCTGTTGCTAATGATGTTGCTAATGATGTTGCTAATGATGATAGTGGTGGTGAAAGTGATGATGATAGTACTGCTGATGATAATAATAATGATGGTGAAGGTGAAGATGGTGAAAAGTAATAATGTTGATAATGATGCTACTGATGATTGTAGTGGTAACGGAAGATGTTGCTGATAGTAATAAAGATGCTGTTTTTGCTAATGATGATGCTGTTGCTAATGATGATGCTGCTGTTAATGATGATGCTGCTGCTAATGATAATAAATAGTGCTGGTTGTCGTGACAATGATAATGATGATGGTGAAGGTTGTAGTAGTGATAATAATTTTGAGAATAATGCTACTAACTGATGATGATGATGATAGTGGCGGTTGTAGTGGTGATGATGGTACTATTGGTGGTGATAATAATAATATTAATAATAATAATAACAACAATGGTAGTATAAGTGATAGTACAGTGTTCAGTGGTGTAAACTATGGGGTGAGTAATGGCGAACTCCCCATGCACCCTCCCCCCCCCAGATACGCCACTGAGTATGTTGATAATGATGCTACTGATTATGATGGTAGCAGTAGTTCTAAAAGTGTGATGATGTTGGAATTTATCTGGTTTCATATAATTATTAAATTTTACAAGCAAGTAAGTCTATTATATTATTGGTTTATCAAGAAATATCTTCAATTAAATGTTCGAACATGTTGGTGATAATGTTAAAAATATAATGATGATCAATGAAGACAATGGTAGTGGTGGTTTTATGGTGTTATTTCAGTAGTTTTTAGATCAATTTCAGTTTGTAAATTCTGGGACAAGCAGGAATGGCAGTTAGGCTTAAAATTCTAGTCTACAGCGCCCAGTGTAGAATCCCCAAGATGGTAGAATACACTATGTACTTAACCGATGAAGCATTATTTAGCAGGCTTGTGCAGCATTTTATGAAATTGTGCTGGGATTGCAAAATGATGAGGGTAATGGAGAAAGATACGTGCTCCAATTGGCATCCGTCCAAGCTCATAATAAATCCTACACAAGCCCTGATTATAAATCAAACTGGAATGGCAGGCTTGCTATCAGAATATGATATTGAATAGATATTAAAAAAAAAGACATTAGGAAATAAACTTTACCAAGTAACTTAAACCACTGTACTACACAAATAGCTAATCAGTCTAACTCCTAACCTCTCCAGTAACGCGAGATAGTCAATTTATACGAGTCTGTATGTGATTACAGAGCTGCTAGCATAGGAAAAATTATTTATTCATAATTTCAGTTATATAATACCTAATATTATTTTTCCCATTTAGTAATTCTGGGAATAGTTTAATCTCAAAGTTATAGTACACAAATCTAGAGTAATTGTTGCGTGAATGCGTATATTGTTAAAAGTTACATAATAATACAAAAAATAAAAAATATAATTTATATAAATGGAGAAAATGATTCAGAAATCATTAAAAATAATAATTTCAATTCAGTCAAACAGTAAATCATAAACAAGGCTTGACCTAACATGCACAATATAATAAAATATTAAACAAATTATTATAAATATGAATACAAAATATACCTGGTAATAATTTCAAAGTGCATTTTCCATTACTGATATTTTAGTATAAAATATGTAAAGTCAATCATATTTACTAAAATACATATTTATAGTAGATTATATATATTTATTTAATTAAATTTAATCATATTATAATTGCTACAAAATGTACTAATCATTCATATTTTAATGTAAAGTAATTATATTACAAAATTGAGAACACAAAATTTATTATTACAGCCTAAATGTTGGAAATTACATTTCCAGATTCTGATCTTTAAAAAAGAGAATATGTTTATTGCATGTTATTCATTTTTATGGTCATTTTTTCCCTTTTGTGGATTGGAATTATCTGGGTAATTGCCTGGCATATGTAATAGTCATTCATTCATGCATGATCGAACATTTCCATCCGAAGGTTGATATCCTCAACTTGTATCAAACACTTAAAGGGAAAACATATTCAGATGTATTATATTATATACAGGGTAAATGTACAATGTATGGGGTTTTTTTTCTTGATTTTGAACCGTTTGTAAAAATAATGTTTAAATTTTTGTGATTGACAAAATAGTTGGTTTATTTTTTTCAATAGTTATGCTTCGCATGGTCTTCCGTCGAAGTAAAGCTACAACGGACGTAAAATTTTTACTTCAAAGCTAGTTAGAAATAACTGTGCAAAAATTATCCGGAAGTGATAATCGTTAATTTCATTGTCTCTCAACAGTTATTTTGCACGCAAATTCTTGGAATTGTAAACAGTTTTAAAATATCATGTCTACAAATGTTTACACATCATAGGAAATGTTATTTTTTGGTACTCATTTGTAGGTAATTAGGTCATAATGATGTCATAATAAAGGCACAGTGCTACTCTGAGGTCATATCCCCTACATTTCATGTTCACGTGGAAGTCGCATACTTACTCCTGAAACTGCTCAGGAGTAAATCGTCTAGTAACTAACATTGAAGTAACTTAATACAAAGAGCGTCTTCACAGGCACTACCCAGGGCTTACGACAAGTAAACTCTACTTCAAAGCTTACCTCTGACTCATCTCAACTTGTTTTACTGTATTCTTTAAACATAGTTTAATTACATTAGATTTAGTTGTGAACTTAGTTTGTGTCATCCATTTTTCTTCGACGATTATTGACTTCTAAGGATGTCTGGTCGCCCTTTTAATTTTCAAATTAGAGTATACCTGTTGAGTTGATTATTTCTAGTTTTTTATTCCACTGTTATCATGACAGCTTCCTTAAGTAGACTGGTTAATCCTTACTTAGCCATGTGACCACTCTGTATAGGGTAATTTAATTATTATTTTAAAAAAAATTAATTTTGCCTCAGGAGCTTCACTGAACATATTGATTTGCTAATTTTATTATGAACAAAATTTATGCACATTTTGAAATGGAAAGAAAAGAATTAATATGATTATAAACATTTTATTGGCATTCATATCAAAACGGGCTGCGTCTCCATGATGCACGTTGGAGTTTCGAACGCAACACAATTTTGTTTGAGTTCCGAACTCTATTTGATTTCTAATAGAGCGCCCCCTACCTCATGGTAGTAGTACCCATCATGCACCTCCACCAGATTTACTTGCTCTTACAGGGTTAACCAGGGTTAACTGCCAGACAATAACATAGTGTCTATGCCTCCAAGGGGGCAATAGACACAAAAATGTTGGACATGCTTTCATTTTTAAAAAGGATTGTAAATTTCTTGTGCAAAGGTGATTCACCATGTATTGAACTATCTCAGTTGGTATCATCCATTGTTCTTGCTCGGCTTGTATTGACTTTCGACAATGTCAGGTCATGGGTTTAATTATTCTTTACTTCATTAACAATTTTTGCCTCAGGAACTGCATTGAACAGTTTCTATTTTTTTTTATTATGAAGAGAATTTATGAATATTTTGAAATTTGTAACTATGGCAAGTGATGAGGTTAATGAAGTTTCTATGCATAGGTACAGATTAAATCAATTTAAGTTTTCCCTAATTTATATGCAGATTAATTATTTATGTGGCATCATTTGACAATCTTTCCCCATAAGATACATGTACACTACTGTAGTAATATGATGGATACCTTATACTATATTGATTTTTCTCAGGGATTTTTTTTCTGATTAATATGACTAGTTCAATACAACTAGGTTTATAAAGGAGGATTCGATTGGATTAGATTTCTTCAATGTGATGCACACCAAGAATGACCCACGAAAGTCTTAAGACTTAATGCCAGTGGGGATCTTCTGGTGGTGAATTGGACAGTACACCGGAAGACAAATTTTTTTTCTGAAGAGTGTACTATGTTTTTTTACATGCACATGAGCCATTTTGCCTATGGGACCAATAGCATAAACATCTCATTCGATAGACGGTGCGCTTTTTAAACTTGTATTTAGAGTCTTGTACGTGAACACAAGGAGAGCAGTGATGGGAATTGAACCAGGAACCAAGAGATCTACATGGTTCAGCGCACCACCAGTTTAGCTGATAGCTGCTCTCTACTAGGTCAATACAACCAGGTTATAAAAGAGAATCTACCACATAGTGTATGTTCTTCATTTGAGTACACATATGCGTATGAGGTTTAGATGTATGCAAATTTGTCACCTTGTTTGTTTCAGAAGAAAAGTTTAAACCTTTGGTCCTGTTTACAATATGGCTCAGGTGCATGTTAAAGAAGGAAGTAGTGGATTGTCTACCGGTGTATTTCCCAATTACCACTAGAAGGACCTTGGCGTTCACATCAGATAAATCCAATTCATTTCATACTAGCCCCAAATGGAGAGCATTAATTATTTCAAAACTCTAATTTGGCTGAAAGATATGACTATTGATTGATTGATTAATTAATTTACTAATTAATTAATTAGAGTTGATTAAATGGCTGTGTACATAAGATTTATACTCATCCTGATCTTAATCAAAGCATATTGAAGTAAGTTAATTAATTTCTTCAGAACCAATGCAATTATCTGCACTTTGTTTATAGGTTTGTGCCTGCCAGGTGCGGTCAACTGGAAAGATGTATGCGTGCAAGAAGCTAGAGAAGAAGCGAATCAAAAAGCGCAAGGGAGAGTCGATGGCATTGAACGAGAAGACACTATTGCAGAAGGTTAACAGCAGATTCGTGGTACGTTATCAACATTTTTTGGAAATGGCATTACCTTGAGTTTGACATAAAGGGCCAGCTTGTAATCCTTCTATGATTATTGAAACATAAACATATTTAGCACTCCAGTAAAATCAGAAAAAAAGCTCAAATAATTAAAGAAATAGTGCTCATTTAAGAACATCAAACAACAATCTTGATGTGTGTTTGCATCAGGAAAATATCATAGAAGTGATGTACCTGAAGTGTTTTCATACTGAATACTCAGTACATTCTCAAATACTTGCGAAAACAAATTCGCAAGTAATTCGGGTGGGAGTCGAACCCAAGACCTCCAGATAATGAGCCTGGTGTAATAACCACTAGATCACTGTACTTAAGTGACTGGTTTTGAATTCAATCCCCAAGTAGCAGCGGGTATGGCAGTGGTAATTTTGATGTGTTTGCTTCAGGAAAATATCATAGGAGTGATGTTCCAACAAGTTCCAACTAACATCCAATGAAATATTGATTTACAGACTTTGTACTATTAAAATGTTAAATTTGGCAGCCAGCCAAGTTAATAGTCTGCCAAGAATATATCACGCCTCTGTTAGCAAACAAAACATTTTCTTGCTATGATTTTCAATTTGAAGCTTAAATATTAAAAGCAAGAAATTCACATACAGTGTCGAATTTTATAAAGTTTATCAGCTCAAAACAAACACAAAATAATCTAAGAAAGAAAACTAATGAGAAGAATAGGAAGCTCTATATCAATGCATGTTTGTCCATCTGAATTATAGGTTGTCTGTTGTCAGGATTCCCACAGGGAAAGTATTCAGTATGTTCTACAATTGTTTCTATTTTAGTACACATTAAATAGAAAGCTGCTCTATTCATCAGATGAAATATAGGTTATAACAATAGCAAATTAATTGGAAGCGATACTTAAGTCAATATGCCCATGTGTATGTTAGAGAAGTCTGTACACTTACTGTAGGTCGGAAATATATACGGGATTGTCTTCCCGTGTACAGTTACCATTGACATTTAGAAGACTGGCTCATGTCAAGTAAACATACTTAAGTCCTGTTTAGATTGGAATTTATTTGGTCAACCTAACCATGCACCTAGATTAGTTTGACCCAAGAAATGACAGTGCGAACAGCCTGCATAATGCTCTGTCCAGACTACTAAATTTACTTTGACAAAACACTGTTGTATGCCCATATATAGTTATGATGTGCCTATATATGGCCATGATGTGCCTATATATGGCCATGATGTGCCTATATATGGCCATGATGTGATGTCACCATATATTCAGTCCTATTACATTATGTCAGATAAAATGTCTCGATAGGCTGGACAGTGACAGGACCTTGTTTATTGACAATAAACACATTGGTATTCAATAACAAATTGGGTTTTTTACTTTTAAGGTGAGTTTAGCATACGCCTACGAGACAAAGGAGGCTCTGTGTCTTGTCTTGACCATTATGAATGGCGGAGATCTGAAGTTCCACATCCATAATATGGGTTCACCGGGATTTGATGAAGGGCGTGCCCGTTTCTATGCCGCTGAGATCACCTGCGGACTGGAGCACCTAAACCAACTACGCATTGTCTATCGTGACATGAAACCTGAGAACATTCTGCTAGATGATCACGGTAAATTTTTTTTTTTTTATTTATGAATTTTGCTGAGTAATGTTGTTTTTAAGCTTGAAAAAAAAAAATCTTCTAGTTCCGCTTCAAACAGATTTTAGGACTCCTCTCCTAAGCCTTTATAGGACTTACAAAGCATTAGTATGTGTCAGAGTTCATTCTTCTATTATAAATGATTAGTCTATTCCAGCTGCATGACAAAATGTTGAAGAGAAGAAAGTGCATTCCTTGCATGGAAGTAAGTGGTAGGGAAAGGTTCATTGTAAGGTAACATTGTAAGATGATGGTTTTATGTACCGTAATATATCATTCCACCAATTACATAGATTAATCAGTTCAAAGGTCATATTTGTTTACGCTCTCTCAACCTCCATCGGTCTGGCGGTCTGGCGTCCCAATATATGCCCCTCATAAATCCTTAACTAAAAAGCTATTAAAGTGATTTCACAATAGAATGTGGTACTGACTTGTGGAGTATCTTAGAAAAGATCTTAGAAAAGATGTAATTTAATTGGGAATTGTTCTTGATATCTCCCCAATCATTAGGTTGAATAAAATTGAGCACAGAGTCTGTTGATCTGAAGTATATTAAACCTATCACATGTTGGAGGCTTGTGTAAATTATTCTTACAGGCTTTGCTTTTGTTTAGTTGATATATTATTTTGTACAAACAACATCCTCTAAAATAGCATAATTCATTTTCAAGCTGTCTATACACAGCCGATTTTGATTCAAAGTGAACTAGATATCTTTTACCTTTGTAGGTTTTTTGCCGCTAATGCCAGCATAAATTTTTTTTTTTTAACCTGTTTTTAAAATGGTTTCTTCCATCTGTATTTTCTTTTGGACACATTTTGTACTTGCTATATGTATGCGATAGAGGGTTAGACACATAATTTCTGTTGTGGTGCTTTTTGACTGATAAAAAATGAAAAATGGATGAAATTACATTATGTTATTTTTTACCAACAGTTTATTGCCATGCTATCATTTATTTTTAATACTTCTGTTAAAACACTTTATTATTATTAAAAGCTATCTACCAATGTATACGTAATGATGTGGGAAGTATAATAGAGGCAGTAGATCTAAAAAGGTTTATTAATCAATTAACTATTAATCAATCAGCCAAGTGTTTCTAGAGCTCCTCACGAGGGCAGTATAATAGAGGCAGTAGAGCTAAAAAAAAAAAGATATATTTATTAATAAACTATTAATCATAGGGGCAGTAGAGCTAAAAAAAGATCTATTTATTAATCAACTATTAAACAATCAGCCTCATGAGGGCAGTATAATAGAGGCAGTAGGGTCAAAATATAATTGATACATTGCCTCCTTGTCCTGTCTAACTCTCCTATGAGAGTATTTTTGATAGCACAGGCATAAACCCTGTTTTGTCCTATACAAGGACATTATAAAATATTATTTCACAGAAACATTTTCAATTCAATTTTTAATTCAGTTTTTTTACCTCCCTTTGGAGAAAGCATTCCAATATACATACCATAAAATCCATAAAATATAAAATCATGCAGCACATAAAAAAAGCAGTACATACAAACAAAATAAGTAACAAATTAATTAAATAGAGTTAAAATAATAATAAAATCCATTCAGAAGGGGCGCAACAAATTCAGAACAGTGTTAAAATTATTAACAAAAATGGCAAACTTAACACTGTCACAAACATGTCGTAAACACAATCGATTTTAAAACATTTTATGTTCTTTCTTAGAAATATTTCTACACATTGAACTTAAATGTGAGGTCGTCCTTTTCCTGGAAAAATACTATCATTATTTTCCTTGTTCTTAAGGTTGTATTTTTACCTTTCTTTTTCCTTTATTTTCTTTTATTATTATAAAGGTGACATTGTGTGTGGCTAAGACTGGCCATGCAAAAAATTAGACAAGAAATGTGGTTTTTTTTTCATTATTTACCTAGTCATTATAGTTTATTCACAGGATGCTAGATAGATTTACACATCAATTGTGCTCAGTGTTTGCACAAATATGCTCTAACAATTGAGTAGTATTTATACATTAATCATGACTTACTTAATTAAATGAAATTGAAATAAATTCGTCTGTGTTTCTCTTGTGATCATGATTGAAGGACGAATTATAGTATTTGAAATGCAAATTTTCAATGTGTTTTTTGTATTCCTATATAAGAAAAGTAAGGTCTTTTTGTATCCTTCAAAAGAGAAAAATCCATGTATGGTTTTATTAACTAAGCCACACAACCTTCAACGCAGTGTTGTCCTTGTTGCAGTCATCATCTTCAGCTCATTCTTGAATTCATAGAATTCTTCAACACATTTTTAATTCAATGTCATCGCCATTGTTGTCTTTATCATCATCATCTACGTCACCATCATCATCATCACCCTCATCATCATCACCACCCCCCTCATCTTCATCCTCATCCTCAAATTGCTTTTGAGTTTATTTAGCAGTTCTACAGTAATAATTATTATTATAAGAATAAATTTATATTTAAAAAAAATTTATTTATCAAGAAGAAATTTTTTTCTTGTGGTGCTGGAAAAATAATAATACTCAAACATTTATAAGGCGCCAATTCCAAATTGAATGATCAAAGGTGCGAGCATTATTACCCCTGGTCACTGGATAACGTACAATGGCAAACCAGCACTAAGTGCAACCTTCTCTGCTCCCTGGGGAGTATCCCTAGTCGTTCGCTACTTCTTTAGCGCACAAAACTAGAACATTCAATGCCATAACATCCTACCAGGTACCCATTTATACTCCTGGGTAGAGAGACAAACATAGACAAACTTGCCCAAGGACACAAGCGACTTGCACAGCTAGAGTTTGGAACCCCTGACCTCAAGGTTGGGAGTCCAAGCCACAATCGATGCACCAACCACTTCTACATTGAAAATAAAATGGTCGATTGTCATGCTTTAATTTTTTCCCTTGTCTCTTTCTTTCCCCTTTTTTTTTTTTTTTTTTTTATTAACCACGACGACAACTAATAAAACATATATATAGATAGATATAAAAAAATTTAAGAACAGACGCGAACGGCACACCCCCAAATTTGAGATGTCATCGCCAGTTAAGATCTGACATAGTTTTATACTGACCACACACTGTGATGGCAGCTCAGGACGACTCAAAACATGAAGCCTTTTTTCACTAGACAAATTTATTCGTGTGTCAGTTTGCTTCCCGAGCTGTGATTGGTTGTGCATTTTTGTTGATTCCCAAAAAGTAGAAACACTTCGAACTACCGATTTCACTAAAGCGAAAAACTTGAATAAAATTCAAATAGGGGAAAATAGGCTTGAGGGACTTGGCCCCTGGACATATCCCTCTTTGTCTTCGTCGGAAATGTATAGACCCCCTCTCCCCCCCAGTCAGATAGCTTAGGCTCTACCCCCACCACTGCCTCAGGTACCTGACCAAAATTTAAAATTCAGGGGTAGCAGAAAAAATATTTTACTTTTTAAAATAATATTCTGTCTCATACATATAAATAATAATAATATTTGTATATAAAATATGCTATGAGTATATTATAATTTTATTACAACAGCTCAAATGAGAATAGTAACTGCAGCCAACAGTGATCCTAGTAACCTTATTTAATAATGAATTTAGCTTCTAGCCTTGTAATAATATTGTTGTTAGCTTATTTATAGGCCTGTATTATGCCATTTCATGGTTGTGAGTGCTTTGTTAGTTAAGCTGCAGTTGTCTACATTCATATTTCAGAAAGTCTCTAGAAGTCGTGTATCATTATTTTTATTTTTGTATTACTTAACACTTTATTAATCCTTTTCGAAATGTTGATTATGTAGGCCTAACCACGTATGAACTTTGCATTCCTGAATAGGACCATTTGAATTCTAAGGTTGTGATAAATTGACATGCATCTATTGTTTATTTCCCTTAACTACACTTAAGAACAGTAATTATCATATCCTTGCATTCCTGTAATCTCTTTATACTTGCAACATTTTCAAAGTCTCCAATAGTTTGTGTCATTTTTAATTAAAAGATGATAGTTAATAGCCAGTGTATTTTTGCAATAGTAAATAAAAATACTGTTTTTACACTCATTTTGGATTATTTATGAAAACGTATTGGACTTTGACGTAACCTTAATGAGGTTTCCATTTTGTTTTGCCTGTCTTTAATAACTTGTAGCTTGCTTAGCTCATTTAAGAGAAGACAGAACAAGGGGGGCATTCTCCATATTTATTTGTTTCTAAGCAATGAGCAACTTATCTCTTTAAATGCTTGCGATGTACCAGTTTGTTATAATTTGCATTCCTATTTAAATTACATTCAAAGTCAGAATGATATAAGGGGAAAATTTACAGATGATTGATGTCCTCTGCAATAAAAACCCTACAACTATTTATTTCTAAATGAATAATTCATAAGGGGAAATTAGCCTAGATGTAATTTAATGGCCTTGCGGCATATATTTTCTTAAGATGCAAGTATCGTTAACTTTCTTTGGCAGACAAATCCAATGTTGAGAACTAAATGTCAGCAATTATTAAAAATGGCGTTGTTGTTGGAATCCTACCATTTGAAATTGAAAGGTTATTTAAGGTTTATTGGCCTCTTCCTCGGGGTAGAGGCTGGGATAGAAGACTATGGTGAAGGTATTAAAAGAATATGGGTAAAGAAAACGTATTTGATAGGGGGAAAATATGTGTTGGGGAAGTATGTAAATAGGTAAAGAAATTTGTTAGGTGATGTTCAGCAGGGAAGAAAACTTGGTAGAAAAGGAGGCTGTGGCTTATCTAGGAGGGGATGCTGCCTTCAGTCTACCCCCACCTCCCTCCCCCTCCCAAATAAAAAATCGTGCACAAGTAGTTAAAAATCACCTCAAATCACCTTATATTGCGAGCTAGTTCCCCTCACCTGATCATCGAGGGGGCCCCCTTGCCGCATTTCAAGAGAGTACTAGTTACTGGAAGGAGGATAGAAGACAGAATATTTAAACATTTAAATATAAT